TGTTACAATACACCGAACATTCGATTTTTAGACCGATCATTTCTTTGTGAGTGGGCAAACATTCAACATCAGCAGGGGATCAAATGCACATTTCCTTCAATGTGTGTGTGTGTATATATATATATACATTGTATACAGTCTGGGGGAGGGGGGACTCATTTCTGGGGGATACTGTATATTTCTGTCCCCTTGGTGGGAGTGGAGGTGACCCCTCTATGAGGACATACAGTCCATGCACACCCAGCACAAGGCCCGGATCACACTACCAGACGGTTCTCGGGGCTGCAGTTCCTCTGAGCTCCACAAGGTGATCTCACTTCTACTCAGACAGGAAGTCTTTATGGAAGACAGGAAGTGATGTCAGGTTGAGCTAAGAAATTCCACAACTTACGACTTAGAGAGGAGACATTGCTGAAAGTGGCAGCGGAGGAGGTAAATAAGATCTGATTTATATTTACGCGAAACTCCAAATAATTCTTACTTCAGTTTGTCAAAATGATCTCTCTATAAGAAAGCCAGAGTAGATAAAATGACGACACCAATGAGGATGGAGGAGGACCGGAGTCACATGACTGAGAGGATACTAAACCTCACCCTGGAGATCATCTACCTGCTGACCGGAGAGGTGAGGAGGATTCTGGGAGGTCACATGACATCACTCTCATCTCTATTAATAACACAGACCTGACCGGAGAGGTGAGGAGGATTCTGGGGGGTCACATGACATCACTCTCATTTCTATTAATAAAACACAGACCTGACTGGAGAGGTGAGGAGGATTCTGGGAGGTCAGATGACATCATTCTTGTCTCTATTAATAAAGCACAGACCTGACCGGAGAGGTGAGGAGGATTCTGGGAGTCTAACATGATGTTTCTATTGGTTCCCCAATACAGAGATTTCCTCTTCTGAAGTCAGGTGATCATATGACCATCACAGTGCCTCCATGTGACTCCCTAAACCCTGAGAGACACAACATGCAGAAGATTCTAGAAGTCACCAAGAAGATGATGGAGCTGCTGACAGGAGAGGTGAGCGGTGCCGGGAATTCTGGGACATTCTCCAGTAACAGACAAGGGATGTGTCTGGATGGTGACTGTATCATGTGTGTGTGTCAGGTTCCTATAAGGTGTCAGGGTGTCACTGTCTATTTCTCCATGGAGGAGTGGGAGTATTTAGAAGGACACAAGGACCTCTACAAGGACGTCATGATGGACAATCAGCCGCCCCTCACAGCACCGGGTAAGAGGAGACTTTATTGGAAAGGAGAGAGCAGTACGGAGGATCCACCTAGATCCCCCATCATCTGATAAACACATAGAAACAATGGATTCAGTCAGTGTGTGTGATTCCTACAGATGGATCCAGTCATGGGAACCCACCAGAGAGATGTCCCCGTCCTCTGTATTCCCGGGATTCCACACAGGAAGGTCACACCATCCCTCACCATCATCAGGTAGATGGATCCAGTCATGGGAACCCACCAGAGAGATGTCCCCATCCTCTGTATTCCCAGGATTCCACACAGGAAGGTCACACCATCCCTCACCATCATCAGGTAGATGAGGAACAATCACTGATAGTAGAATTAGGATCTGAACATTATGTGCATTGTTACCATTGATGTCATTTTTATTATATATTCAGAGTGGAAACCTGAGAGATTCTACAGTTGATGGTCAAGAAGAGATAAAAGAAGAGGAGGATGATGAGGATGGGGCGATGGAGGAGTCAGAGATTCCAGAAGGACACAAAGATCTGCACCAGGACACCATGGTGGAGTCATCCAGCTACAGGAACCCACCAGAGAGATGTCCCCGTCCTCTGTATTCCCGGGATTCCACACAGGAAGATCTCACCTTCCCTCACCATTACAAGGTTTGTGGGACAGAGAATCTAGAACATGGACTCATGGAGACGATGTGCGGATTTTCTATTTAATGTCACAATAATAAATCTTCTATCTTACAGATGATATTTTCTCTCCTTCTCTTGATGTAGAGTGGAGATCCAATCGATATAGAATTTGAGGTGAAATCAGAAGAAGAGGCGTATGTGAGGGATGATCAGCAGTCTATGGAGGAGGATGGAATAACGGGGACATTTATAGAGGAGGACACTCCTACAGAGATCAGCACAGGTGGGTCATGAACACTAAATCCATTCCTCCACCCACACTGCTCACTGATTGGTCCAGAGTAGGGCAGGGGCGGGGTGATATCAGCCTGTAATACCCTGGTCACTTTCTTGAGCTGTGTTCCCTGTCCTGTATTTCTGGATTTCTCGGATAATCTTCTTTCTCTGTGCTGCAGACACAATTTATGTCTCTAGACTGGATTTATGGAGGTTCTGGGGATCAGCGGCAGCAAAATGTGGATTTCCACCATAAGCATGGCTCAGCCTAGACACCTGGGGGATGGTGAGCAGATATATGGTGGAGGACGGTGAGCACATATATGGTGGAGGATGGTGAGCAGATATATGGTGGAGGATGGTGAGCACATATACGGTGGAGGATGGTGAGCAGATATATATGGTGGAGGATGGTGAGCAGATATACGGTGAAGGATGGTGAGCAGATATACGGTGGAGGATGGTGAGCAGATATACGGTGGAGGATGGTGAGCAGATATACGGTGGAGGATGGTGAGCAGATATACGGTGAAGGATGGTGAGCAGATATATACGGTGGAGGATGTGAGCAGATATACGGTGGAGGATGGTGAGCAGATATACGGTGGAGGATGGTGAGCAGATATACGGTGGAGGATGGTGAGCAGATACACGGTGAAGGATGGTGAGCAGATACACGGTGGGGATGGTGAGCAGATATACGGTGGGGGATGGTGAGCAGATATATGGTGGGGGATGGTGAGCACATATACGGTGGAGGATGGTGAGCAGATATATGGTGGGGGATGTCTCTGCACGGGAATTGATGACAGATGCACATATTTTTCGTTATCCACAGAAGGGTTCACTGAATGAACACTTTATTGATTGAACTTGATTTTTTATATACATTCATATATTTATATTTTTATTTCAATATTAATATTTTTTACTATTTGTTCTTCTAATATATATGTATTTCTCTTCACTTTGTATTTTGTTCATATATTGGTTTGTTTCATGTAGCTCAGCATTTTTCCTCTTCACATTATGTGTGTATAATTTGCCGCGCTGAGACACGGGTTCTGTGCACTAGCGGCTGCAGCAGCATTTAATTGTCATTTTTTGTTTTTTATGTCACCATAGTTAGCGCTTTAGTGATTCAATTTATTTTAGATAATAGCTGGCAGGGTGACGGGTGGATTGTGTTCCTTCATTGCCAGCCCCGAGTACCTGGACAGGAGTAGGGGTAGCATTGCCTGGAAGCGATCCCCCTGCAGAAGCTGAAAGCCGGTTTCTTCTCCTCTCCCTCCCACCAGCATTCAGTGGCTGTAGGAGGACAATAGAAAAAATTTGTAAAAATCAAAAAAAAACTACTGACACCATCCTCTGCCCTACTAACACCGTCTACTGCTCTGCTGACACTATCCACTGCCCTGCTGGCTGACAACATCCGCTGTCCTTCTGACACCATCCGCTGTCCTTCTGCACAATCCACTGCCCTACTGGCTGACACCATCCACTGCCCTACTGGCTGACACCATCCACTGTCCTTCTGACATCGTCCACTGCCCTGCTAACACTGCCCACCGCTCCACCGACAGTCCACTTCCCTACTGACTGACACTGTCAGTACCTTTAAACTCAGGCTAAGTTAAAAAGAAAGGGTGCCAAACCCCGGTGATTTTTTTGATCTTTTGTTCAGGTAGATCTCCATCTCTCAAAGCTTGCCTACCCCTGCTCTCTGTGCTGTACATTACATACTCCTGCACTATATACACTGTGTGTTGTACATTATAGACTCCTGACCCCTGCACTAAATACTATGTGCTGTACATTACATACTCCTGACCCCTGCACTATATACTCCATGTTGTACATTACATACTCCTGACCCCTGCACTATATACTCCATGTTGTACATTACATACCCCTGACACCTGCACTATATACTCCATGTTGTACATTACATACTTCTGACCCCTGCACTAAATACACTGTGTGTTGTACATTATATACTCCTGACCCCTGCACTAAATACTATGTGCTGTACATTACATACTCCTGACCTCTGCACTAAATACACTGTGTGTTGTACATTACATACTCCTGATCCCTGCACTATACACTATGTTGTACATTACATACTCCTGACCCCTGCACTATATACACTGTGTGTTGTACATTATATACTCCTGACCCCTGCACTATATACTCCGTGTTGTACATTACATACTCCAGACCCCTGCACTATATATTCCATGTTGTACATTACATACTCCTGACCCCTGCACTGTATACTCTATATTGCATTGTTTCCTCACTCTCTGGGTTGAATTGTAAGCTCCTCAGAGTCCAAGCTGCCTAATGTGGGCGGAGTCCTGGTTTGGGGGAACCAATCAGCTCCTGTCTAGTAATCTCTTTGTCTTTGTATTTTAGTCCATGGCTGGGAGATGAGGAAAACCTCCAAGGATTGTCTCACTTTGTCTCCAGACTGGAAAGTAGAAGATGAGGACATTACACAGTATAGTCCAGGAGGAAACCCGGCTCCCTCCAATGTCCATCCGGCACCACCCAGTGTAGATGGACCATCGGATTCCTCGTATCCTGAGGAACCTCAGACTGTGCGGGACCGGGCCGGGCTTCCAACAGGGAAGAGGGTTTCCTGTACTGAGTGCGGGAAATGTTTCCGTTTTAAAACCGATCTCATTATGCATGTAAGATCTCACACAGGGAAGAAGCCACATTCCTGTCCTGAGTGCGGGAAATGTTTTTTAAACAAATCACAGCTTGTCAGACATCATATAACCCACACGGGTGAGAAGCCTCATTCCTGTCCTGAGTGCGGGAAATGTTTTTCACAGAAGTCCATTCTCTCCATACATCAGAGATTGCACACGGGCGAGAAGCCTCATTCCTGTCCTGAGTGCGGGAAATGTTTTTCCTTTACTTCCAGCCTTTCCGTACATCGGAGATCCCACACGGGGGAGAAGCCGTATTCCTGCCCTGAGTGCGGGAAATGTTTTTCACAGAAGTCCCATCTTTCCACACATCAGAAATCTCACACGGGGAGAAGCCATTTTCCTGTCCTAAGTGCGGGAAATGTTTTTCAGATAAGTACAGTCTGCATTATCATCAAACATCGCACACGGGGGAGAAGCCGTTTTCCTGTCCGGAGTGCGGGAAATGTTTTTCATTCCAGTCCAGTCTTAGCAGACATCAGAGACTGCACACAAGAGAGAAGCCACTTTCCTGTCCTGAGTGAGGGAAATGTTCCTCACTGAAGTCCTGTCTTCCTGTACATCAGGGATCCCATTAATAACGACTCCGCCTCCATATTCCAGACAAGGTATTTTCCTGACCAATTGGTTTTTTACCTTTTACGATTTCCTGATTTTTTTTTTTTTTTTTTTTACTGCAATTTTGTAAAAAATAAATTGACAATAAAATTTTTGAAGAAATAAATTGTGTGTTCCGGGTGAATGACGACAAACTTCCATGTCCAAAAAAATTGCTCATAGGTAACACTTTAAAAGCCTTCACAGGTCCACATTTTGGAGTCACCTGGAGTTGGGGCCCCACTGAGGGGCCCTAGGCAGTAGCTGACTACATCCAAGAGTTACATTGGTGAACAATGGGAGAAGGACCCCCTTATATCAGTGGTCAGTGTAGTGGTCCCTTACATTGGTGACCGATGGGAGAAGGACCCCCTTATATCAGTGGTCAGTGCAGTGGTCCCTTAGATTGGTGACCGATAGGAGAAGGACCCCCTTATATCAGTGGTCAGTGTGGCGGTCCCTTATATTGGTGACCAATAGGAGAAGGACCCCCTTATATCAGTGGTCAATGTAGTGGTCCCTTATGTTGGTGACCAATAGGAGAAGGACCCCCTTATATCAGTGGTCAGTGTAGCGGTCCCTTACATGGTGACCAATGGGAGAAGGACCCCCTTATATCAGTGGTCAGTGTAGTGGTCCCTTACATTGGTGACCGATGGGAGAAGGACCCCCTTATATCAGTGGTCAGTGCAGTGGTCCCTTACATTGGTGACCAATAGGAGAAGAACCCCCTTATATCAGTGGTCAATGTAGTGGTCCCTTATGTTGGTGACCAATAGGAGAAGGACCACCTTATATCAGTGGTCAGTGTAGCGGTCCCTTACATGGTGACCAATGGGAGAAGGACCCCCTTATATCAGTGGTCAGTGTAGTGGTCCCTTACATTGGTGACAATGGTAGAAGGACCCCCTTATATCAGTGGTCAGTGTAGTGGTCCCTTACATTGGTGACAATGGGAGAAGGACCCCCCTTATATCAGTGGTCCCTTACATTGGTGACCGATGGGAGAAGGACCCCCTTATATCAGTGGTCAGTGCAGTGGTCCCTTACATTGGTGACCGATAGGAGAAGGATCCCCTTATATCAGTGGTCAGTGTGGCGGTCCCTTATATTGGTGACCAATAGCAGAAGGACCCCCTTATATCAGTGGTCAATGTACTGGTCCCTTATGTTGGTGACCAATAGGAGAAGGACCCCCTTATATCAGTGGTCAGTGTAGCGGTCCCTTATATTAGTGACCGATAGGAGAAGGACCCCCTTACATCAGTGGTCAGTGTGGCGGACCCTTATATTGATGACCAATAGGAGAAGGACCCCCTTATATCAGTGGTCAGTGTAGCGGTCCCTTACATTGGTGACAATGGGAGAAGGACTCCCTTATATCAGTGGTCAGTGTAGTGGTCCCTTATATTAGTGACCAATAGGAGAAGGACCCCCTTATATCAGTGGTCAATGTAGTGGTCCCTTACATTGGTGACCAATGGGAGAAGGACCCCCTTATATCAGTGGCCAGTGTAGCGGTCCCTTACATGGTGACCAATGGGAGAAGGACCCCCTTATATCAGTGGTCAGTGTAGTGGTCCCTTACATTGGTGACCGATGGGAGAAGGACCCCCTTATATCAGTGGTCACTGTAATGGCCCCTTACATTGGTGACCGATGGGAGAAGGACCCCCCTTATATCAGTGGTTAGTGTAGTGGTCCCTTATATTAGTGACCAATAGGAGAAGGACCCCCTTATATCAGTGGTCAGTGTAGTGGTCCCTTTCATTGGTGGCCATGGGAGAAGGACCCCCTTATATCAGTGGTCAGTGTAGTGGTCCCTTACATTGGTGGCCAATGGGAAAAGGACCCCCTTATATCAGTGGTTAGTGTAGTGGTCCCTTACATTGGTGGCCGATGGGAGAAGGACATTCTTACATCCCCATGAAATCGTCCCTGAGAGACAGAAATTGTTCAATGCTGAAGCAGCTCCTGGAACCCTTTGGAGGAGCCCTGGCTGAGAAAGGCTGGACTAGGCAGTCATATATTTTTGTCCCCCTTGGTGGGAGTGGAGGTGACCCCTCTTTGAGGACATACAGTCCATCCACACCAAGCACAAGGTCGGGGTCACACTACCAGATGGTTCTCGGGGCTGCAGTTCCTCTGAGCTCCACAAGGTGGTGATCTGTGGAAGACAGGAAGTGATGTCACGTATAAGTAGGAAGTTCCGGGTGAGAAACAAGTTAGGGAGGAAGTAGAGAGGAGACGTTGGTGGAAGCGGCGGCAGAGGAGGTAATATAATCTTTACACCCAGTAACCCCTCATTCATGCCTGTCCTCTTCCTCCATCGTCACAACTGTCCTCATCATCGTCCCGTCTGTCCTCCTCCTCCACAGTCACGTCCGTCCTCTTCCTCCATCATTGTGTCCATCCTCTTCTTCCACCGCCATGTCTGTCCTCTTCCTCCATCGTCACGCCCGTCCTCTTCCTCCATCGTCCTGTTCGACCTCTTCCTCCATCATCACGTCCTTCCTCTATCGTCACGTTCGACCTCTTCCTCCATCATCATGTCCATCCTCTTCCCCCATCGTCTTGTCCGTCCTCTTCCTCCATCGTCTTGTCCGTCCTCTTCCTCCATCGTCACGTCCGTCCTCTTCCTCCATCGTCACGTCCGTCCTCTTCCTCCATCGTCACGTCCGTCCCTCTTCCTCCATCGTCACGTCCGTCCTCTTCCTCCATCGTCACGTCCGTCCTCTTCCTCCATCGTCACGTCAGTCCTCTTCCTCCATCGTCACGTCAGTCCTCTTCCTCCATCGTCACGTCCGTCCTCTTCCTCCATCGTCACGTCCGTCCTCTTCCTCCATCGTCACGTCCGTCCTCTTCCTCCATCGTCACGTCCGTCCTCTACCTCCACTGTCACGTCCGTCCTTTACCTCCACTGTCACGTCCGTCCTCTACCTCCATCGTCATGTCCGTCCTCTACCTCCATCGTTATGTCCGTCCTCTTCTTCCACCGTCACGTCTGTCCTCTTCCTCCATAGTCACTGTGACGTCTTTTATCTCCAGCAGATGATGATACACACATATTCCTAGATTGTAAGCTCGAAAGAGCAGGGCCCTCGAACCCCTCATGTATTGTATTGTTTCTGTCTTGTCTCATGTTCTGTCCCCCTTGCTATTGTACAGTGCTGAGCATACCCTTTGGCGCTATATAAATACTGTATAATAATATATAGTGTGGGAACCCAGATTGGCCCCTTCAGGGGCAGAACATTCCCCCACTTCCGGGGCCGGAACATTCTCCTCATTGTGGAGCGTTACCCTCTCACCTTAGCAGTCTCTTGTAATGAGGACAGAGGTTTGGTTTCAGGTTGTCTTGAAATTCGCACTTCCACTCCCTTCCCCTGAAGATACCAACCCCCACCCCTCACACCTGACTACCTCCCCCATGTATCTCGCCTCCACTGCTGCTCCTGCAGGCCCAGGACCGGCATGGTGCATGGAGTGAAGGGTGATCAGTTCTGCGATCTCTCCTCCAGTGAATGAACCCAGAAGAGACGGTAAATTCATTACTTCCAGGTTCAGAGCCATCATTCCCCGGTCACTGCAGCTGATTAAGCCCGATCTTCTTGGTCAGCTACACTGGGGTCCATAGGTGACGCTGGCGGTCTAAAAGATGCCTAAAGTCTATTTAAAGAGAGCCTGTCATTTTGACTATGCTATCACAAAGGGAGCTAGTGGCCACACATCGTCGTTCATGTCGCAATTCTGAGCCTTGTCTTTCCATCGTTATGGGGGTAGTGAAGTTAGTTTGGGTTTTGCATTGGTCTTGATGACATCAGAGAACCTGAGACCAATGGCACATAGGGAAGAAGAGGCTATGTGGACCAGTCTTACAACCCAGAGGATCCTGGGCTCTTTGAGCTCTGCATTGATCTTGATGACATCAGAGAACCTATGACCTACAGAGCACAGGGAAGAAGAGGATATAAGGACCGGTCTTACAACCCAGAAGAGCCAGAGGTGTCGAGTCTGCATTGTTCTTGCTGACATCAGAGAACCTATGACCTACAGAGCATAGGGAAGAAGAGGTGGCATGATCCGGTCTTAGATCCCAGGCTCCCCTGGGTTGTATGGGTTCTGCATTGGTCTTGATGACATCAGAGAACCTGCAACCAATGGAGCACAGGGAAGAAGAGGCTGTGTGGACCGGTCTTATAACCTGGAGGACCCTGTAGTCTATGGGTTCTGCATTGGTCTTGGTGACATCAGAGAATCTGAGACCAATGGAGCACAGGGAAGAAGAGTCTGTTGGACTGCTTTTACAACCCAGAGGATCCTGGGGTCTTTGGGCTCTGCATTGGTCTTGACATTGGAGAACCTATGACCTACAGAGCACAGGGAAGAAGAGGATGTGTGGACCAGTCTTACAACCCAGAAGGGCCAGGGGGTGTCTCAGCTCTGCATCAGTCTTGATGACATCAGAGAACCTACATAGCATAGGGAAGAAGAGGTAGCATGGTCCAGTCTTACAACCCAGGGGAGCCTGGGATCTATGGACTCTGCATTGGTCTTGATGACATCAGAGAACCTGCAACCAATGGAGCACATGGAAGAAGAGGCTGTGAGGGCAGGTCTTACAACCTGGAGGACCCTGTAGTCTATGGGCTCTGCATTGGTCTTGATGACATCTGAGAACCTGAGACCAATGGAG